CGTCACTTCCGTCGTCTCCTCGGGCTTGACCTCGGTCGTCTCGACCGTCTCGGTGGTCACTTCCGTCACCTCCGTGGTCTCCTCCGTGGTGGTGGTGGCCGGCACTTCCTCGGTCACTTCGACCGTCTCGGTGGTCACTTCCGTCACCTCCGTGGTCTCCTCCTCGGTGGTCGTGCCCGCAGTCGGCTTGCGCTTCGGCTTGCGGTGCTTCTTCGACTTGGGCTTCTTGCCCTGCGTCACCTCGGTCTCCTCCACGGTCTCCTCCACGATCTCGGTCGTCTCGATCGTCTCGGTGGTCTCGGTGGTCACCTCCTCCGTCACCTCGCTCGTGGACGGCACCTCCTCGGTCGTCTCGGTGGTCACTTCCGTCACCTCCGTCACTTCCGTCGTCTCCTCGGGCTTGACCTCGGTCGTCTCGACCGTCTCGGTGGTCACTTCCGTCACCTCCGTGGTCTCCTCCGTGGTGGTGGTGGCCGGCACTTCCTCGGTCACTTCGACCGTCTCGGTGGTCACTTCCGTCACCTCCGTGGTCTCCTCCGTGGTGGTGGTGACCGGCACTTCCTCGGTCACTTCGACCGTCTCGGTGGTCACTTCCGTCACCTCCGTGGTCTCCTCCTCGGTGGTCGTGCCCGCAGTCGGCTTGCGCTTCGGCTTGCGGTGCTTCTTCGACTTGGGCTTCTTGCCCTGCGTCACCTCGGTCTCCTCCACGGTCTCCTCCACGGTCTCGGTCGTCTCGATCGTCTCGGTGGTCTCGGTGGTCACCTCCTCCGTCACCTCGCTCGTGGACGGCACCTCCTCGGTCGTCTCGGTGGTCACTTCCGTCACCTCCGACACTTCCGTCGTCTCCTCGGGCTTGACCTCGGTCGTCTCGACCGTCTCGGTGGTCACTTCCGTCACCTCCGTGGTCTCCTCCGTGGTGGTGGTGACCGGCACTTCCTCGGTCACTTCGACCGTCTCGGTGGTCACTTCCGTCACCTCCGTGGTCTCCTCCTCGGTGGTCGTGCCCGCAGTCGGCTTGCGCTTCGGCTTGCGGTGCTTCTTCGACTTGGGCTTCTTGCCCTGCGTCACCTCGGTCTCCTCCACGGTCTCCTCCACGATCTCGGTCGTCTCGATCGTCTCGGTGGTCTCGGTGGTCACCTCCTCCGTCACCTCGCTCGTGGACGGCACCTCCTCGGTCGTCTCGGTGGTCACTTCCGTCACCTCCGTCACTTCCGTCGTCTCCTCGGGCTTGACCTCGGTCGTCTCGACCGTCTCGGTGGTCACTTCCGTCACCTCCGTGGTCTCCTCCGTGGTGGTGGTGGCCGGCACTTCCTCGGTCACTTCGACCGTCTCGGTGGTCACTTCCGTCACCTCCGTGGTCTCCTCCGTGGTGGTGGTGACCGGCACTTCCTCGGTCACTTCGACCGTCTCGGTGGTCACTTCCGTCACCTCCGTGGTCTCCTCCTCGGTGGTCGTGCCCGCAGTCGGCTTGCGCTTCGGCTTGCGGTGCTTCTTCGACTTGGGCTTCTTGCCCTGCGTCACCTCGGTCTCCTCCACGGTCTCCTCCACGATCTCAGTCGTCTCGATCGTCTCGGTGGTCTCGGTGGTCACCTCCTCCGTCACCTCACTCGTGGACGGCACCTCCTCGGTCGTCTCGGTGGTCACTTCCGTCACCTTCGTCACTTCCGTCGTCTCCTCGGGCTTGACCTCGGTCGTCTCGACCGTCTCGGTGGTCACTTCCGTCACTTCCGTCGTCTCCTCGGGCTTGACCTCGGTCGTCTCGACCGTCTCGGTGGTCACTTCCGTCACCTCCGTGGTCTCCTCCGTGGTGGTGGTGGCCGGCACTTCCTCGGTCACTTCGACCGTCTCGGTGGTCACTTCCGTCACCTCCGTGGTCTCCTCCTCGGTGGTCGTGCCCGCAGTCGGCTTGCGCTTCGGCTTGCGGTGCTTCTTCGACTTGGGCTTCTTGCCCTGCGTCACCTCGGTCTCCTCCACGGTCTCCTCCACGATCTCGGTCGTCTCGATCGTCTCGGTGGTCTCGGTGGTCACCTCCTCCGTCACCTCGCTCGTGGACGGCACCTCCTCGGTCGTCTCGGTGGTCACTTCCGTCACCTCCGTCACTTCCGTCGTCTCCTCGGGCTTGACCTCGGTCGTCTCGACCGTCTCGGTGGTCACTTCCGTCACCTCCGTGGTCTCCTCCGTGGTGGTGGTGGCCGGCACTTCCTCGGTCACTTCGACCGTCTCGGTGGTCACTTCCGTCACCTCCGTGGTCTCCTCCGTGGTGGTGGTGACCGGCACTTCCTCGGTCACTTCGACCGTCTCGGTGGTCACTTCCGTCACCTCCGTGGTCTCCTCCGTGGTGGTGGTGACCGGCACTTCCTCGGTCACTTCGACCGTCTCGGTGGTCACTTCCGTCACCTCCGTGGTCTCCTCCTCGGTGGTCGTGCCCGCAGTCGGCTTGCGCTTCGGCTTGCGGTGCTTCTTCGACTTGGGCTTCTTGCCCTGCGTCACCTCGGTCTCCTCCACGGTCTCCTCCACGATCTCAGTCGTCTCGATCGTCTCGGTGGTCTCGGTGGTCACCTCCTCCGTCACCTCGCTCGTGGACGGCACCTCCTCGGTCGTCTCGGTGGTCACTTCCGTCACCTTCGTCACTTCCGTCGTCTCCTCGGGCTTGACCTCGGTCGTCTCGACCGTCTCGGTGGTCACTTCCGTCACTTCCGTCGTCTCCTCGGGCTTGACCTCGGTCGTCTCGACCGTCTCGGTGGTCACTTCCGTCACCTCCGTGGTCTCCTCCGTGGTGGTGGTGGCCGGCACTTCCTCGGTCACTTCGACCGTCTCGGTGGTCACTTCCGTCACCTCCGTGGTCTCCTCCTCGGTGGTCGTGCCCGCAGTCGGCTTGCGCTTCGGCTTGCGGTGCTTCTTCGACTTGGGCTTCTTGCCCTGCGTCACCTCGGTCTCCTCCACGGTCTCCTCCACGATCTCGGTCGTCTCGATCGTCTCGGTGGTCTCCGTGGTCACCTCCGTCACCTCGCTCGTGGACGGCACCTCCTCGGTCGTCTCGGTGGTCACTTCCGTCACCTCCGTGGTCTCCTCCGTGGTGGTGGTGACCGGCACTTCCTCGGTCACTTCGACCGTCTCGGTGGTCACTTCCGTCACCTCCGTGGTCTCCTCCTCGGTGGTCGTGCCCGCAGTCGGCTTGCGCTTCGGCTTGCGGTGCTTCTTCGACTTGGGCTTCTTGCCCTGCGTCACCTCGGTCTCCTCCACGGTCTCCTCCACGATCTCGGTCGTCTCGATCGTCTCGGTGGTCTCGGTGGTCACCTCCTCCGTCACCTCGCTCGTGGACGGCACCTCCTCGGTCGTCTCGGTGGTCACTTCCGTCACCTCCGTCACTTCCGTCGTCTCCTCGGGCTTGACCTCGGTCGTCTCGACCGTCTCGGTGGTCACTTCCGTCACCTCCGTGGTCTCCTCCGTGGTGGTGGTGGCCGGCACTTCCTCGATCACTTCGACCGTCTCGGTGGTCACTTCCGTCACCTCCGTGGTCTCCTCCGTGGTGGTGGTGACCGGCACTTCCTCGGTCACTTCGACCGTCTCGGTGGTCACTTCCGTCACCTCCGTGGTCTCCTCCGTGGTGGTGGTGACCGGCACTTCCTCGGTCACTTCGACCGTCTCGGTGGTCACTTCCGTCACCTCCGTGGTCTCCTCCTCGGTGGTCGTGCCCGCAGTCGGCTTGCGCTTCGGCTTGCGGTGCTTCTTCGACTTGGGCTTCTTGCCCTGCGTCACCTCGGTCTCCTCCACGGTCTCCTCCACGATCTCAGTCGTCTCGATCGTCTCGGTGGTCTCCGTGGTCACCTCCTCCGTCACCTCGCTCGTGGACGGCACCTCCTCGGTCGTCTCGGTGGTCACTTCCGTCACCTCCGTCACTTCCGTCGTCTCCTCGGGCTTGACCTCGGTCGTCTCGACCGTCTCGGTGGTCACTTCCGTCACCTCCGTGGTCTCCTCCGTGGTGGTGGTGGCCGGCACTTCCTCGGTCACTTCGACCGTCTCGGTGGTCACTTCCGTCACCTCCGTGGTCTCCTCCGTGGTGGTGGTGGCCGGCACTTCCTCGGTCACTTCGACCGTCTCGGTGGTCACTTCCGTCACCTCCGTGGTCTCCTCCGTGGTGGTGGTGGCCGGCACTTCCTCGGTCACTTCGACCGTCTCGGTGGTCACTTCCGTCACCTCCGTGGTCTCCTCCTCGGTGGTCGTGCCCGCAGTCGGCTTGCGCTTCGGCTTGCGGTGCTTCTTCGACTTGGGCTTCTTGCCCTGCGTCACCTCGGTCTCCTCCACGGTCTCCTCCACGATCTCAGTCGTCTCGATCGTCTCGGTGGTCTCCGTGGTCACCTCCTCCGTCACCTCGCTCGTGGACGGCACCTCCTCGGTCGTCTCGGTGGTCACTTCCGTCACCTCCGTGGTCTCCTCCGTGGTGGTGGTGGCCGGCACTTCCTCGGTCACTTCGACCGTCTCGGTGGTCACTTCCGTCACCTCCGTGGTCTCCTCCTCGGTGGTCGTGCCCGCAGTCGGCTTGCGCTTCGGCTTGCGGTGCTTCTTCGACTTGGGCTTCTTGCCCTGCGTCACCTCGGTCTCCTCCACGGTCTCCTCCACGATCTCGGTCGTCTCGATCGTCTCGGTCGTCTTGGTGGTGTTAGTTGTTTTACCCGCCGGTTGAACTGAAGGTTGTTTGAATACGGTAGGCTTTGCTGCCACTGTTTTTATAAAAGTAGCGCTTGAAACTTCCGTCTGCCTGCGAGGGGAAAGTTGAATATCACTCTCACGAGTCTTGGACTTTTCACCTTCCTTCGGTTTGCCAGTAAACAGCGACATAAACCAGTTTGGCTCATCAGCAGCAGCCTTCGCTGCGGGGGTAATACTAGCTGTCTCATCAACAGCAACTTCAGTCTCCGTCGTCGTCTCCACCTCGATCGTCGTCACGAGCTCACCGGCGGGCGAAGTCTCCGTGCGCGTGGTCGTGCGCACCGTCTTGGTCACGATGCTGCCGTCGGCTTCCTCCGAGCGGAACACCTCCGTCTTCACCGTCTCGCCGGGCACAGCGCCAGCCTCCTCGGTCAAGCTGACCGCCGTCATGCCGGCAGTCGAGGCGATGCTCGACGTCGTCGCGGCCGTCTCCGTGGCGGTCTCCGTCGTCGTCTCCGTCTCCACGGTCGTGCTCTTGGCGCCGCCCTTGGTCTCCGTCTCCGTCGTCGTCTCCACCTCGATCGTCGTCACGAGCTCACCGGCGGGCGAAGTCTCCGTGCGCGTGGTCGTGCGCACCGTCTTGGTCACGATGCTGCCGTCGGCTTCCTCCGAGCGGAACACCTCCGTCTTCACCGTCTCGCCGGGCACAGCGCCAGCCTCCTCGGTCGAGCTGACCGCCGTCATGCCGGCAGTCGAGGCGATGCTCGACGTCGTCGCGGCCGTCTCCGTGGCGGTCTCCGTCGTCGTCTCCGTCTCCACGGTCGTGCTCTTGGCGCCGCCCTTGGTCTCCGTCTCCGTCGTCGTCTCCACCTCGATCGTCGTCACGAGCTCACCGGCGGGCGAAGTTTCCGTGCGCGTGGTCGTGCGCACCGTCTTGGTCACGATGCTGCCGTCGGCTTCCTCCGAGCGGAACACCTCCGTCTTCACCGTCTCGCCGGGCACAGCGCCAGCCTCCTCGGTCGAGCTGACCGCCGTCATGCCGGCAGTCGAGGCGATGCTCGACGTCGTCGCGGCCGTCTCCGTGGCGGTCTCCGTCGTCGTCTCCGTCTCCACGGTCGTGCTCTTGGCGCCGCCCTTGGTCTCCGTCTCCGTCGTCGTCTCCACCTCGATCGTCGTCACGAGCTCACCGGCGGGCGAAGTCTCCGTGCGCGTGGTCGTGCGCACCGTCTTGGTCACGATGCTGCCGTCGGCTTCCTCCGAGCGGAACACCTCCGTCTTCACCGTCTCGCCGGGCACAGCGCCAGCCTCCTCGGTCGAGCTGACCGCCGTCATGCCGGCAGTCGAGGCGATGCTCGACGTCGTCGCGGCCGTCTCCGTGGCGGTCTCCGCCGTCGTCTCCGTCTCCACGGTCGTGCTCTTGGCGCCGCCCTTGGTCTCCGTCTCCGTCGTCGTCTCCACCTCGATCGTCGTCACGAGCTCACCGGCGGGCGAAGTCTCCGTGCGCGTGGTCGTGCGCACCGTCTTGGTCACGATGCTGCCGTCGGCTTCCTCCGAGCGGAACACCTCCGTCTTCACCGTCTCGCCGGGCACAGCGCCAGCCTCCTCGGTCGAGCTGACCGCCGTCATGCCGGCAGTCGAGGCGATGCTCGACGTCGTCGCGGCCGTCTCCGTGGCGGTCTCCGTCGTCGTCTCCGTCTCCACGGTCGTGCTCTTGGCGCCGCCCTTGGTCTCCGTCTCCGTCGTCGTCTCCACCTCGATCGTCGTCACGAGCTCACCGGCGGGCGAAGTCTCCGTGCGCGTGGTCGTGCGCACCGTCTTGGTCACGATGCTGCCGTCGGCTTCCTCCGAGCGGAACACCTCCGTCTTCACCGTCTCGCCGGGCACAGCGCCAGCCTCCTCGGTCGAGCTGACCGCCGTCATGCCGGCAGTCGAGGCGATGCTCGACGTCGTCGCGGCCGTCTCCGTGGCGGTCTCCGTCGTCGTCTCCGTCTCCACGGTCGTGCTCTTGGCGCCGCCCTTGGTCTCCGTCTCCGTCGTCGTCTCCACCTCGATCGTCGTCACGAGCTCACCGGCGGGCGAAGTCTCCGTGCGCGTGGTCGTGCGCACCGTCTTGGTCACGATGCTGCCGTCGGCTTCCTCCGAGCGGAACACCTCCGTCTTCACCGTCTCGCCGGGCACAGCGCCAGCCTCCTCGGTCGAGCTGACCGCCGTCATGCCGGCAGTCGAGGCGATGCTCGACGTCGTCGCGGCCGTCTCCGTGGCGGTCTCCGTCGTCGTCTCCGTCTCCACGGTCGTGCTCTTGGCGCCGCCCTTGGTCTCCGTCTCCGTCGTCGTCTCCACCTCGATCGTCGTCACGAGCTCACCGGCGGGCGAAGTCTCCGTGCGCGTGGTCGTGCGCACCGTCTTGGTCACGATGCTGCCGTCGGCTTCCTCCGAGCGGAACACCTCCGTCTTCACCGTCTCGCCGGGCACAGCGCCAGCCTCCTCGGTCGAGCTGACCGCCGTCATGCCGGCAGTCGAGGCGATGCTCGACGTCGTCGCGGCCGTCTCCGTGGCGGTCTCCGTCGTCGTCTCCGTCTCCACGGTCGTGCTCTTGGCGCCGCCCTTGGTCTCCGTCTCCGTCGTCGTCTCCACCTCGATCGTCGTCACGAGCTCACCGGCGGGCGAAGTCTCCGTGCGCGTGGTCGTGCGCACCGTCTTGGTCACGATGCTGCCGTCGGCTTCCTCCGAGCGGAACACCTCCGTCTTCACCGTCTCGCCGGGCACAGCGCCAGCCTCCTCGGTCGAGCTGACCGCCGTCATGCCGGCAGTCGAGGCGATGCTCGACGTCGTCGCGGCCGTCTCCGTGGCGGTCTCCGCCGTCGTCTCCGTCTCCACGGTCGTGCTCTTGGCGCCGCCCTTGGTCTCCGTCTCCGTCGTCGTCTCCACCTCGATCGTCGTCACGAGCTCACCGGCGGGCGAAGTCTCCGTGCGCGTGGTCGTGCGCACCGTCTTGGTCACGATGCTGCCGTCGGCTTCCTCCGAGCGGAACACCTCCGTCTTCACCGTCTCGCCGGGCACAGCGCCAGCCTCCTCGGTCGAGCTGACCGCCGTCATGCCGGCAGTCGAGGCGATGCTCGACGTCGTCGCGGCCGTCTCCGTGGCGGTCTCCGTCGTCGTCTCCGTCTCCACGGTCGTGCTCTTGGCGCCGCCCTTGGTCTCCGTCTCCGTCGTCGTCTCCACCTCGATCGTCGTCACGAGCTCACCGGCGGGCGAAGTCTCCGTGCGCGTGGTCGTGCGCACCGTCTTGGTCACGATGCTGCCGTCGGCTTCCTCCGAGCGGAACACCTCCGTCTTCACCGTCTCGCCGGGCACAGCGCCAGCCTCCTCGGTCGAGCTGACCGCCGTCATGCCGGCAGTCGAGGCGATGCTCGACGTCGTCGCGGCCGTCTCCGTGGCGGTCTCCGCCGTCGTCTCCGTCTCCACGGTCGTGCTCTTGGCGCCGCCCTTGGTCTCCGTCTCCGTCGTCGTCTCCACCTCGATCGTCGTCACGAGCTCACCGGCGGGCGAAGTTTCCGTGCGCGTGGTCGTGCGCACCGTCTTGGTCACGATGCTGCCGTCGGCTTCCTCCGAGCGGAACACCTCCGTCTTCACCGTCTCGCCGGGCACAGCGCCAGCCTCCTCGGTCGAGCTGACCGCCGTCATGCCGGCAGTCGAGGCGATGCTCGACGTCGTCGCGGCCGTCTCCGTGGCGGTCTCCGTCGTCGTCTCCGTCTCCACGGTCGTGCTCTTGGCGCCGCCCTTGGTCTCCGTCTCCGTCGTCGTCTCCACCTCGATCGTCGTCACGAGCTCACCGGCGGGCGAAGTCTCCGTGCGCGTGGTCGTGCGCACCGTCTTGGTCACGATGCTGCCGTCGGCTTCCTCCGAGCGGAACACCTCCGTCTTCACCGTCTCGCCGGGCACAGCGCCAGCCTCCTCGGTCGAGCTGACCGCCGTCATGCCGGCAGTCGAGGCGATGCTCGACGTCGTCGCGGCCGTCTCCGTGGCGGTCTCCGTCGTCGTCTCCGTCTCCACGGTCGTGCTCTTGGCGCCGCCCTTGGTCTCCGTCTCCGTCGTCGTCTCCACCTCGATCGTCGTCACGAGCTCACCGGCGGGCGAAGTCTCCGTGCGCGTGGTCGTGCGCACCGTCTTGGTCACGATGCTGCCGTCGGCTTCCTCCGAGCGGAACACCTCCGTCTTCACCGTCTCGCCGGGCACAGCGCCAGCCTCCTCGGTCGAGCTGACCGCCGTCATGCCGGCAGTCGAGGCGATGCTCGACGTCGTCGCGGCCGTCTCCGTGGCGGTCTCCGCCGTCGTCTCCGTCTCCACGGTCGTGCTCTTGGCGCCGCCCTTGGTCTCCGTCTCCGTCGTCGTCTCCACCTCGATCGTCGTCACGAGCTCACCGGCGGGCGAAGTCTCCGTGCGCGTGGTCGTGCGCACCGTCTTGGTCACGATGCTGCCGTCGGCTTCCTCCGAGCGGAACACCTCCGTCTTCACCGTCTCGCCGGGCACAGCGCCAGCCTCCTCGGTCGAGCTGACCGCCGTCATGCCGGCAGTCGAGGCGATGCTCGACGTCGTCGCGGCCGTCTCCGTGGCGGTCTCCGTCGTCGTCTCCGTCTCCACGGTCGTGCTCTTGGCGCCGCCCTTGGTCTCCGTCTCCGTCGTCGTCTCCACCTCGATCGTCGTCACGAGCTCACCGGCGGGCGAAGTCTCCGTGCGCGTGGTCGTGCGCACCGTCTTGCGGTCTCCGTCGTCGTCTCCGTCTCCACGGTCGTGCTCTTGGCGCCGCCCTTGGTCTCCGTCTCCGTCGTCGTCTCCACCTCGATCGTCGTCACGAGCTCACCGGCGGGCGAAGTCTCCGTGCGCGTGGTCGTGCGCACCGTCTTGGTCACGATGCTGCCGTCGGCTTCCTCCGAGCGGAACACCTCCGTCTTCACCGTCTCGCCGGGCACAGCGCCAGCCTCCTCGGTCGAGCTGACCGCCGTCATGCCGGCAGTCGAGGCGATGCTCGACGTCGTCGCGGCCGTCTCCGTGGCGGTCTCCGTCGTCGTCTCCGTCTCCACGGTCGTGCTCTTGGCGCCGCCCTTGGTCTCCGTCTCCGTCGTCGTCTCCACCTCGATCGTCGTCACGAGCTCACCGGCGGGCGAAGTCTCCGTGCGCGTGGTCGTGCGCACCGTCTTGGTCACGATGCTGCCGTCGGCTTCCTCCGAGCGGAACACCTCCGTCTTCACCGTCTCGCCGGGCACAGCGCCAGCCTCCTCGGTCGAGCTGACCGCCGTCATGCCGGCAGTCGAGGCGATGCTCGACGTCGTCGCGGCCGTCTCCGTGGCGGTCTCCGTCGTCGTCTCCGTCTCCACGGTCGTGCTCTTGGCGCCGCCCTTGGTCTCCGTCTCCGTCGTCGTCTCCACCTCGATCGTCGTCACGAGCTCACCGGCGGGCGAAGTCTCCGTGCGCGTGGTCGTGCGCACCGTCTTGGTCACGATGCTGCCGTCGGCTTCCTCCGAGCGGAACACCTCCGTCTTCACCGTCTCGCCGGGCACAGCGCCAGCCTCCTCGGTCGAGCTGACCGCCGTCATGCCGGCAGTCGAGGCGATGCTCGACGTCGTCGCGGCCGTCTCCGTGGCGGTCTCCGTCGTCGTCTCCGTCTCCACGGTCGTGCTCTTGGCGCCGCCCTTGGTCTCCGTCTCCGTCGTCGTCTCCACCTCGATCGTCGTCACGAGCTCACCGGCGGGCGAAGTCTCCGTGCGCGTGGTCGTGCGCACCGTCTTGGTCACGATGCTGCCGTCGGCTTCCTCCGAGCGGAACACCTCCGTCTTCACCGTCTCGCCGGGCACAGCGCCAGCCTCCTCGGTCGAGCTGACCGCCGTCATGCCGGCAGTCGAGGCGATGCTCGACGTCGTCGCGGCCGTCTCCGTGGCGGTCTCCGCCGTCGTCTCCGTCTCCACGGTCGTGCTCTTGGCGCCGCCCTTGGTCTCCGTCTCCGTCGTCGTCTCCACCTCGATCGTCGTCACGAGCTCACCGGCGGGCGAAGTCTCCGTGCGCGTGGTCGTGCGCACCGTCTTGGTCACGATGCTGCCGTCGGCTTCCTCCGAGCGGAACACCTCCGTCTTCACCGTCTCGCCGGGCACAGCGCCAGCCTCCTCGGTCGAGCTGACCGCCGTCATGCCGGCAGTCGAGGCGATGCTCGACGTCGTCGCGGCCGTCTCCGTGGCGGTCTCCGCCGTCGTCTCCGTCTCCACGGTCGTGCTCTTGGCGCCGCCCTTGGTCTCCGTCTCCGTCGTCGTCTCCACCTCGATCGTCGTCACGAGCTCACCGGCGGGCGAAGTCTCCGTGCGCGTGGTCGTGCGCACCGTCTTGGTCACGATGCTGCCGTCGGCTTCCTCCGAGCGGAACACCTCTGTTTTCACGTTGCCGTGTGGGCTTTGAGATTTCTGGTGTTTTTTCGCTGTCCAGTTGGCAACGAGCTTGCGTGCTGCAGCCTTGGTCGTTAACGGCGGGCTGTGGGTACGCTGCTGGAACCAGGACATAAGCCATTCACCCGCGTCAAAACCTTGTTCATCGTCGCTTTCATCGGAGCTGCTATCGCCCGATTGGATCTCGTACATGAAGGCTCCAAGTGAAGATTTCTCCGCCGCACCATGCTGCTTCGAAGAAGCCACATTGTGGACCTTGTTGAAGTTGCCAACGTTCATGAGATAGCTGTCGCTTTCAGCAGACGTCTTGACAATAGGCGAGCCGGACATGATCACAACCTCGTCAGCGAGTCTAACAACCGTGGTTGACGTCGTCGTCGAGTCGCTTTGGTCGAAGAGCGCGGCTGTGGCCTTCTTGTCACTCAAACACATAGCCACATCCTTCTGGGATGGGCAACGAACACCTAGCTCCTGGACGTACTTGATGATCTCACTCCATGAGCCGCTACGCACAACCTCACCATCGCACAGCACAATGACATTCGCTGCACGGGTGCAGTCCTCGGACGGGTCACGCAACAGCGAAATCACGATGACCTTCTGAAGCCACTTTGACAAACGACGATTCAGCGAGATGAAGTCAAACGACGACTCGCTCTCCACGTGCGCCTGGTCCATGAGCACCGCGTTGGTCTTGCTGAAGCGCAAGCCTCGGCGCCCGATCGGGAAATCGGGGTAGTACAGCGTGAAGGCGCGGGCGAGCTCCCACGCCACCTTGCGCTCCTTGGAGCGGCGCCCCGCGAGGGCCAGCGCACGCTCCGCCAGGCTTTTTTGTTTTTCTTCTTCTTGGTCCACCTCGTACTTGAGCACATGGAAACGACAAAACGCACGCGCAAAAATGAACAGCTCCACCGCGGTCACCGTCTCGAAGCGGCGGCCGTGGCTCGTCACATACGTCAAGAAGTCGGGCAGCCACCTCTTGAAGTCCTCCTTCTTCCTCTCTCCGCCGGCCTCGAGGCTGCTCATGTCGCCCCTCGCGTCCGCCTGGGGGGCCACGACGGTGCTGGTGAAGAGCACGCCCGAGCTGGTGTTCAGCTCGCGCAGCCTCTCGGCCGTCGCCTCCTTGACGCCCATGGCGGTCGCCGTGGCGCTCGCGCTCCAGGCGTGCCACGCGAGCTCCGCGAGGCTCTGCGCCGTCCTCTTCTCCTCGCTCACGCTCTCGAAGTCCGCCACGGCACGGGCCGCCGCCGCCGCCGTGGGGCTCGCACCCTGCTGCTGCTGCGTCACGTCCACCTCGGTCTCCGTAGTGGTGACGATCTCCGTGGTGGTCTCCGTCGAGCCGTCGGGCTTGGTGACCACCGTAGTGACGGTGCAGCCGTCGGCGCTGGTCGTGACCGCCGTCGTGGTGCCGTCCTTGGCCGTGGAAACCACGGTCTTGGACCCGTCCTTGGCCGTCGTGGCCTGCTCCGTCGCGGCCTCGGGCTTCTTGTCCTGCTTCTTCTTGTCCTGCTGGGCCTGGGCCGGCGGGCTGCGGATCACCATGGGGTGCTGCAGCCGCGCGTCGTCCTTGGCCACCTCGTTCGACTCGGTGCCGCCCATGCTTGCGGCTGCGGGTCCTGCTTAGCTTCGCTCTTGCGCGCGCTCTCTCTCTCTCTCTCGCTGCTTTGTGGGGGCACTCGAGCCAATCCACTTGATGCCCGCGGAGCGAAAGCGATTGTGAGGGATCCCGAAGCCACGGACGCGCGCGTCTAGCGGTGTTTCCGGCCAAATCCGGCTAAAAAGTGCGCCGTCTGACGAAGATACGTTTTGCGTCGCCTTTGATTGGCTAAGACCAAGGTCTCGTCCCGGGCTTTTGATGTGCTGCTGCTTCGACATGAAACGCACTTTTGGCAAAAACTCGGATTGCAGGCTCGAGCAGCTCCGAAGGCCCCGACTCGACTTGTCGCTAGGTGGGAAGGTTGAGCACGTGTGGCCGTCGCCACGAGATCGCTCGTGACTGTATTATACTGTAATACGGGCACCTATCTCGCTGCCGCCTTCCTGCGCGACACTGCTTCGGTCAAGTCGCCAAGCCATCGGAGACTTGCGTTACGATGTGATCCATGCATGCCGGACGCCGCCCCAACATCGTGGAGCACTATCATGGAGCTGCTGGACTCAGCAGTCGAGCAGCACCGGCAGTGCAAGGTTACTTCGAAGTATTGCCCTTGGGAGACCGCGCAGCGACCGAGTAAAGGGCGTTAAAACGTTTACACCCGAGACGTCAGCCCGACGGTCCAAAAGGGGCAAAAATCAGCCTTCGTTGGAAATTAGCATCTGCAAACGGGTGGCGCGCTGGTGCTCTCCCCGGACTCGGGGCAGGTGGCGGCGGCGGCGCTCGCTGGCGATATTATCCTGCTGAGCGCCGCAGTATCCTACGTGTATCCGGTGTCGGTGCCTTCGCCGCCACCCGACCACCTGTTCTCGATGCTGTTTGCTGCGTTGCCTCGGGCCTCCACACTCGCGCAGCCACCGTGTCGAGACGCCGCGACCGGGCGCGGGCACTTTCCCGCACTGGCCGGAGCAGGGCCGAGTCGTCGCTAGACAGCCTGGACTCGAGCGCGGTGGTGAATGGTAAGACAGCACCTGCGCAGGTGGAGACCGAGGAGGTGAGGTGAGGTCGAGGCTGCTGCCGAGGCTTCGGCATTGCCGAGGCGCAATGCCGCCCGGCAATTTGGCGCCGAACGATGCGCGAACGAAGATCGCACTCTATGGAGTGCCACTCTCGACAGCTGTTTGCCACGATCTAGGAATTTGTATGCCCATACAGTCCGAAACAGAAATGACTCGGTAGCGCGCATGTTGAAGTGAGGGATGGCCATACGACTGGTTGCCATTGCTTGCCTAAGGAGCTCTAGCTAACTATTGCTAGCCGGCTCGTGGGCCCTTAGCGCCATGTTGAACGGCAGGACTCCGCGACGAAGGCATCACCTTGTGCGTGGAGAACGCGAGGTACAATGCTTGCCCCCGCGCACACGGATGAGGGGGGCCGAGTTCTCGGGAGTCGGAACTGCGTGGCTCATGCGGACGCCCTTGCCCAGTGCTGCACCGAAGAAACTAATTGAACAGTGTTTGCCGCCATCGTCGACCAACCCAAAACCGCGAACCTTCGTAGTACGAACGGCGATCGAGTTACTGCTCGCACGCTCGCTGCGGAAGCCGAGCACCGGAAACGTCGTCTTCTCGCCTTCCATCCTCATGCGGAAGAGCTGGGTCCTCGAGGCCAGCACGGCCGTCATGGCGTCTTGGAATGCCGGGTCTAAAACCTGATTGTTCACCTTCAGGTAATTCTCCTGCTGAGGTAGGGTACCCTTCTGGAAATGTTTTCTGCAGCTCCTTCATCGGCATGCACTTGACAGGCCCTCGCACGAGAGGAAGACAAACCGGTTGTACGCTCTATTGGCCGAGAACGTCAGATCCATCAGGGACGTTTGCTCCTAGGTGGGGCGAAGCCAAACTTGAAGATGCTGTCGACTCCCTCTGAGCGCTCGCCTCCACGGTCTCCGTCGAGGCTGCCTTGGACTGCAACGCAGCTTTCGATAGTTGCTGTTGCTGCTGCTCCTTCTGCCTCTTCACCTCCTCAAGAGGAGCCTGCCCGTCTTCCACTCTGGGACGGCGGAGTTGGATAAGTTCGTCACCTCCGCCATGCAAGTAAGGAGCGGCGCCGTGATCTTGAGTTCGGCGAGCACGCAGGAGCGCTTCACCCTTGCCGCCCCTTTCCCCTCTTCTCGATGACGCTGTCGCTGGCGAGGCTTGCGCTTACGCGGCTTGGGCTTGGGTCGCTTGATGCTACGAGGCCACAGACGTTTGACCACGCTCTTGCGAACGGCGCGCGGGGCATCACTAGAGAGTCGGCGACAGCACGCGAGAACCAGACGTCGGGCGTCACGAGCTCTCGCCCCGCGGCAGTCGCCCGCTTGCGCTTGGGGGCCTTCGGAGAAGACGACGACGCAGCTCTGGGGCGTTTGGCAGACGAAGGCTGACGAGGCTTCTGGGGCTCCTTCTTCTTCTTGGGCGACGCCATCTTGACGGAAGACGGCGAGTTCGCGGATGAGCAGAGCCGTCGAGCTGCGTGCTGCCGTCCTTGCAGCGTCCAGTTCGCCATACAAACTCGGAGCTGCAAGTTATGTGACGCCCGAGAAAATTGCTTCCAGTGGCATGCTCAACAACCTATATCAGGTATATTTTCTACTAGGGCTCCGATTATTCCAAAAACTTTTTGGTATAATCGCTTTCTATTATTATGAGTTTTTTTTAAGAACCACGGGCATCTCCTGCGCCTGCTTCGCATATACAGTGATAAAACAAACCTTGCTCCGAGCAAGTTGCTCGAGATCTGTTTGTAGCTTGTAGAAAATGAAAATGTTTACCTTTTTATGCGAACACGCTGCTACTACATAAACTGCACAGTAGGCAAATACTACGAGTACTTTCTGGGCTATTTGGTACAGTTTTGGGGATACAGAGAACTCTGGCTATAGTGGCGCCGGGTATAAGAGAAAATCGACTATTAGAGCGTTTCTGCGATATCCCAAATTCTGACTATAGTAAAAGCAAGTCAAACCGGCTATTAGACTGTAAGAGTGTAAGAGAGCTCCCCCACCAAACCAAAACCACACATTGTAAGAAGAGTGGGGGACACGTGGCTCACTTTTAAACACGATCAAGAACGCAATAATGGTCTCGTCACGTCAGCACCTCACTATCTACGAAAAGAACGAGCTCGTCCTCTGCCCAAGACGCCTCGACCAAGGTCTCCATTGACAAGTTCAACGGGGACAACTACGCGACGTGGAACCGCTACATGCGTGGCGTGTTCCTGACCAAGTCGACGTGGCATGTCGTGAACCGCGAGACGACGCCGAGCTTCACGGACTCGCGGGCCAAGGACGACTACGTCAAGTCGAGCAACATCGCGTTCGGACTGATGTTGCTCCACATGGACGCGGACTACCACCATGTGGTCGACGACTGCGAGGAAGCGTGGGTTGCGTGGACGCGCCTGAAGACGCTGTACGGTGGTTCGCAGAAGGCTGGACGCATCTACCTGAAGCGCTAACTCTTCAGCATGGAGATGTCGGAAGGCGGCAACGTCTTGCATCATTGCAACGAGGTCCTCAACATCAGCGCCAAGCTCAGCAGTATCGGCGCCAAGATGGAGGATGAGGATGTGGCGATCTGCCTGTTGCGCAGCCTCCCCAAGAGCTACGAGAACGTCGTGCTGAACTTGGAGATGAGCAGCGCTGAACTACGATCGCAAGACGTCGTGAAGGTGCTGACGAATGAGCACATCAAGAGACAAGGCGAGAAGACGGCGACGGTGAAGACGGAGAATGCGGCCAAGGCGTTCAACACCGACCGAGAGTCTCGCCAGTGTACGTACTGCGGGAAATTGGGGCACACGATTGACAAGTGCTGGACCAAGCAGAAGGACGAGAATCGGGGCCCAAGACGCGGCGGCAATGGCAATGGCCGTGGACGCGGGGCCAACAATGCCCAGTGGAAGAACGACGACGCCAGCTACAACTACGACTACGGCTATGATCGAGTGGCGTTCGCGGTCTCACTGGAGTGTGGCATTTCGACGGGCAAGAATGTGTCCGGGTTGTGGGCGGTCGACAGCGGCGCAACGCACCACATCTGCAACGACAAGGCCAAGTTCGCTCATTTGATTGAGCGGAATGAAGGCGAACTTTCGGTGGCCGACGGCAACAAGGCGGCCATCATGGGTGTGGGGACCATCGTGGAACGAGTGGTTCTGCCCAACGGCGACGAGCGCGACATCGAGATCAAGAACGCGCTGTACGTCCCAAGCATGAGCAAGAATCTGCTTTCGGTGCCACAGATCAACAACTCGTCGGAGAGGGGACAATTTCCCTGTCGTGGATTCAACGGTTCAACTTTCGTCATCGTGTGACGCTACACAAGATGCATGGGGAGGCTGGATCGGTTGACACGGCGGACCTCGGCCAGCAACGCGCAGAGTTAATGGAGCTACTCGACAAATACAACCCCCAAGATATTTTCAATATGGACGAGACAGCTCTGTTTTACCGTATGCTACCAAGTCAAACGCTAGCGACCAAGTCCGTTGCAGGCAAAAAGAAGGACAAGACTCGAATTAGTATCGGACTATGCTGCAACTTGGCAGGTACTGAAAAATTGGAGCCCATCGTGATCAATCGAGCTGTGAAACCTCGCTGCTTCAAAGGTGTCAACGTTGGTGCGATCCCTATGGACTATTTTTCGAACCAAAAAGCATGGATGACATCTGAAGTGTTTTTGAAGTGGGTGCGGGCGCTAAATCTCAAGATGCATGGACGCAGAATACTTTTGGTGCTCGACAACGCTGCCGGTCATGTTGACATTGAACTGAACAATGTGTACATCCATTTCCTACCAAAAAATACTACGTCGCACCTGCAACCAATGGACGCCGGCATTATTCGAAACTTTAAGCTGAAGTACAAGAAATTATTTGTGCAGTGGGTGATTGAGCAGACCGGTCCACAGAAGCGGTTAGATTTGTTGACGGCAATAAAATTTGTCGTGGACGCATGGAACGCGGTTTCGGATGCGACAATTCGACACTGCCTGCGGCATACTAGGATTGTGTCAGGAAGCATGAGCGCTAGGATTGAGCGCGACAGTGAGCGGATGACAAGAGAAACGGAGCTGGAAGATCTAGAAGCGCTGATATCTAGATTAGATCTATTGGATCCATTGAGTGCGGCACGCTTCGTTGACGTTGAAGATTCTGTTGACGATAGCCCACACAGCGACGACGCAAGCGAGCAAGTTTCAAGTGACAGTGAGAGTGATTGTGGTGGTGAGGAGGAACGACCGTTTTCGCACAGCGAGGCACTAGAAGCAGCTCAAAAGCTTCAGGTCTACATGTTTGCTCACGGATTACAGGACACCAGTGTACAGAACGTTGTCAATGCGACGAGGAGAATGGCGATTATCTCTAAGCGCCAGACGTCGATCACCTCGTACTTCCATGCTTTATAGTAGTTTGAATGTTCAATGATAGGTTCCCTCTTATAACAGCAAAACTCTATAAGAGAGCTTGTGAAGTTGATGGCCAAACACCTCCACTGTAACCGGAGTTCTCTGTATTCAATATATCCAGAGTAAACAAATCAGCGGCTGCTATCGCGCAGCTGCGTAAGATAAACTTACCTTCGGACTGGCTGGTAAGATAAATTCGTTTTTAGAAAAAAATCAGTGGCCTCCTGTCGCCAGTCCAAAATCCTCCCTCCTCCCCCGCAAGCCGCAAGCGATCAGGTCCTGACCCCGTGGCATGGTGCGTACGCGTGAGTTAGTTCATGTATTCCCTGCTTAAGGCTAACCTGTACGTATCCATACTCTATGTCAGGCCCCGGACGACGGCATAGCTACCGATGGAGCTCGCGATGTGCATCTAGCAGCTCCTCTCGAGATGGTCACTGTGAATGCAACACCCAGCCAAGCAAGCTCAGCCCAAGCTCCTCCCACCACCGATCCGCCCCCACTCACGCCACCAGAAGAAGCAGAAGCAGAGCGGCTGCGGCTTCGGGCGAAGAAGCGACAGCAGCAAGAAAACGCAGTGCCGAAGTCTAGCCGCTCCCCCCCCCACGCTGCCAAACTGACGAGGATCTGCCCCGAAACGCTGAAGCGGACCCGGCAGACAGTCAATCCCGTGCCGACCAAGCTGAGCGTTGGGAGTCCCGCCTGGCCCGTCATCTGGCAGCTGACAACGAGGACGAAAGTGAAGGTGAAGCAGCGCTAGCGGAAGTATCGATACAGCTTGAGGAAGAGGATGAAGACGAGTCTCCGGACAACAGTGACGATTCGGACTACAACGACGATCGACGAACACCTGAGGGCGATGACGATGGAGACTCCTGTGGCGGTATTGGACCCGCTAGTGACATCGATTCCGCTACGAATAGTGTGCCGACACCGAAGACGTACCAAAACCCAAAGAGGCACCAAACACTAAAGGCCCACCAAACACCGAAGAAGCACCAAAACCCGAAGGCGAACCAAAAGTCTATCCAGTGCGAGGACGAAGAATCGGAAAGTGAAGGGTGTGTGGAAGATGTACCAGTCGTCGGTGGCTACTTGGAAGGATTTCCTATGTACTGGTCGTCGTGGAAAAGTTTCTACGAAGCGTTCGACGAGTTCCAAGAGGCTACGTACCAGCGCTTCCCGTCCCGCACGAGTACCTCAATTTAGTCCAGGAACAAGCAAATTGCTGCCGCGCAGAAAGAGGTCAAAAAGAAACAAAGTAAGCCGAAGACGAGAATGGTTCGCGCCCACCGACAGAGCACAGGTGGCACACTATTGCCAGAGTCATGGCAGAAATACAGCAGGACGTTCGTGTGCACTCATGGTATTCCGTACGAGAGTCGTGGAGAAGGCTTGCGGCAGCATGACGCCGTCCGTTTTGTGGCGTGTACTGCTCGTGTCAACGCACGGGTTTGTAGCCGACCGAGTGGTGATGGATTTCATATCGTTGTGAATGCAACGGGAACGCACAGCCATTCTCTCACCGAACATCAGTGGTATAACTACGCTGAGAACAGACGCGTCTTGGATCCAGAGCTACGCCGCGATGTGGCAGTCATGAGCAAGGAGGGGGCCAAGCCACGAGGGATATTAGCGTATCTTCGAGCCAAAACAGGTTGGTGCTTTTGGTGTGTATTCTGTATAATGCACGAAACACTAATAACATTTGGTTTGGTGTTCAATAAAGGCAAGCGAACGATTCTACGAGACGTGCACAACATGATCCAGGACGCTAAGAAGTGCTTTAATGGAGGTCGATCGGATGCGGAGCGCGCTGTCTCCGTGCTGGACGAATTCTGCGAGATGAACACTGGAAATGTGGCGGAGTTCGTCATTGGCAAGGAGACCAACATGGTGCAAGTGCTAACGTTCCAGTCAGCGCGGCAGAAGCGTCTCTTTGCAGCCTTCCCCGAGTTTGTTCTGGTCGACTCGACTCATAACAGCAACGCGAACCGTTACAAGCTGTTTAGCTTCGCAGTCCATGACGTCTTCGGCCGGGTGGGTAAATGCTTTCAGGCTCTAACCAAAAATGTACCGAACATTTGTATAATTTTCTGTGTGGTTTATTTTCTTAGGGTCAATTCGTGCAACACGCATTGGTGCGGACGGAAGAGAAACCGAGCCCAGCACGCCAAGCAGCAGAAACGAAAGGAGAAGCATCCTGATTTTCAAGTTCAGACGCCGCAACAAATCAAGGAGTTTCTGCAAACTAGAAAGGATATTTCGGGCAGAGAATTGTGTATCTTTATTGGTTTGCTGATCGCCAGCACTATCGTGCCGAAGAAGGAGAAGTTCGAGCCACAGGTGGTAGTGGTGCGCAAGATCGCATCGTGCGTCGAAACCCGGATACCTCAGGGCAGGCTGAGCTGATGGCGCCAAGGGTAGTGAAGGACTATCAAACGTACATGGGCGGCGTGGACGTACATGACCAGCTTCGACTCCAGAGGTAAAGTGCTTGTATCGTGTATGTACAGTTTTATCAATACTAGTTATCGTGTATCATACTGCTTTGTTACAGATACTCTCTTCAAAGGGTCAGACGCTACAAGAAATACTACAACTCATTGTTCCTGGGTCTGATTGATCTCGCTGTCATCAATGCTTTCATTGTGTACAACTGGCACCGCACCATGGATGGCAAACGCAAAGCTACGCACGTCGAGTTCCTGAAGAAGCTTCATTTGGAGCTGATCCAGCTGAAGCCTGACGACTGGACCCAAATGCTGCGCCACCGCGGCATGCACCCTACACCATCGAAGCAACGCAAGGCTACAACAACTCATGTACCCGTGCAAACCGACGAGTGGAGGAAGGGCAACACGGACGACACAAGAAAGCGACGCCAGCGTGCCTGCAAGGTGTGCTCGGTGCTCAAGCGCGCTGGCGAGGCGAGAGGAGGCGAGACTACGTTCTACTGCGGTGACTGCAAGCTCAAGACGGCGGCAAAAACGCTCAGGCTGCACGAGTGTTCCTGTGCAACAAAGTCAAGCACACAAGTAATGGTGAAGCAGTTCCCTGCTTCGAGATTTGGCACGACACTGGAAGAACGGTACCTTGACCCCGCCGTCCATTACCAAGCGCAAGATTCGCGCTCGGAAGTCGGCGGCGACAGCGGCGGCCGCAAGTGACGGCGGCAGTAGTGACAGCGATACCGCGCCTGATGGGAGTGCGCGCGCGCTTCAGCAGCACAAGCGTGCTCGACGAAATGCAATGTAGTGTGTGCAGCAGCTCTTCTGACTTATTATTTGATTTAATTTGAGTATGCACTGGTGTTGCTGATTGCCATCTGACTTGATTCTTTAAATATCGACAAAAATTTGACCTTACGACTGCGCTGTTTTTGTACTGTGATACACATTAGTCCCCCCAAGATGTATTACCCAGCTGCCCCAGTGGTCGGTGCATCGCTACCTCGAGCCTCGGCGTCGGGTTCACTGTCTCTGCGTCGCTCACCTCCCGGATCTGTCGCAGATGTTCGTCCATTTGTGCACCTCCGTCTCCCGTGAAGCCATCTTCGTCATCGGATGAGTCGTCGGCGTAGCGGGACTTGCGACTTGAGCTCCGTCCGGTGCTTCGTAGACTGCTCCTGGTCGCTCTCGAGTCTTCGGCACCACGCGCAACTCGTTCAGTACGAGTCGTCGCGGGTGGAGTGACCATGTGGGAGTCTTGAAAGTACGGTGATCGCTCGCCCGACGCACTGAACGCTCCTCCAGTCGCAGCCTGGGCTGAGTTACTGCGCTCGGTCTTCTTCGGAGTTCGCGGGACTTTACGAGCAACAACTGAGAAGAAGAGCAAGAACAAGAAGAAAAAGACGAAGATGGCGAAAGGATCTCAATCGGCGGTACCAGCAACTCCAATGAAGTCCGGCGGAACGCGAGGCGACGACTCGACGGCGGCCCGGATCACGCCGCAACTCGACCCGATTGTTGAGCGCCACGTCAGCTTCGACGAGTCGATGACTGGATCCGACGCCACGGACGAAGAATTGGATGGCGAATACGACGATTACCTGGAGGAGAAGGCGCCTGCGCCAGCGGTGGTGACACCCGAGACTCCGGAAGATGCAGTGATATCCGCGGGGCGCAGCGGGGGCTCGCGCTCCCTGGCGCGCAGTCTTGCGAGCGAGTTGGAAGACGACGCGCCTCCCGTCTCGCGCAACCTCGCGGACGAACTGGATGATGTGGATGGCCCTGAGACAGCGTATGATGACATGGAAGAGTTTGAAGACCGCGTCGACGACTCCCGATCGCCGGTGCTGGCGACTCAAGTGACCGAGCAAACCTCGGGCAACCGGCCACCGATGAATGGAGACACTCCGGCAGCCAACAAGTACTCACTCGGCCGATGCTTTGAAGCAATGCGTGCGAGCGAATGGGGTCGACTCTTCGAGCCGCGCATGATCCGCCAAGCGGTGTGGGCCGACCTGAGCCACGAGTTGGCGCGACTGGTGAATGCGGTCACAGTTGAGCAAGTGGCGAAGGACACGGTGACGTTCCTGAAGGCGTTGGGTCTCCGGCCCACGCTTGCCGCGTCGCCGTCGACTCTGGAGAGTTTCCTGCCCGCGGGAGCCGAGCTCTGGCAATGGAAGAAGAAGTTGTGTACAGCCTTCGAGATGACCCCCTTCTCTTTGGAGCTGCCGAAGGCGGCTCGCACCAACAAGGGCGGCGCTGACCCAGCGCGCGTCCCGCTGATCCCGACGTTCTCGGGCGCTCGCAACAGGGGCGAGAACTCGATGCAGTGGTTGCGCGCGTTTGTGTACGAGATGAAAGGTACACACCCGCCGCCCAATGAATGGTGCATGCCCTTCGAGCTCCGCCTGAGAGACGGCGCTGTACATTGGCACCGACAACTGACCAAGAAGCCCAAGCGAACCTGGTGTGGTGTAGGGAACATCAAGTTTTGTGTCACACTCCACAGCCGCAGTGGAATAACGTACCAGGAGCCAAGTACTACGGGATGCCGAGCTCAGTGGGCAAGAATGCGCTGATGGACCGCTGAACTCGGCTGATAGTGTCAGAAACTCAAGGCACACCGGCCCCGACCTGGTAACACGTGGCAGGCCCAGTGATGAAGACCCAGCCGAGTTCAGGAAGGCACTGGACACGCTCAGCCGAGATCATGGGGAGTTCAAGACGCCGAGCTCTGCTAAACGGTACCATGTACCGTCCGATACGGTAACCAGGCTCAATTGAGTCCGGGAGTCGCGCAGTCGAGTTCACGGGTCGCTCCGCCGAGTTCACGGGTCGCTCCGCCGGGTTCACTGGCTTATCCGGCACCTTATCCGGCTCAGCCGAGTTCACCGGCTTATCCGGACACTTTATCCGGCTTAGCCAAGTTCGCAGAGTTATCCGGACGCCTTATCCGGACCAGCCGAGCTCGAGCGTCGCTGCGCTCAGCGAAGGGTCGGCCGAGATCCAAAACCACTCACTTTCATTTGGTATTTGTATAGGAGCTAAGGAATAGTAGAGGCGCCCCTTCAGGGCGCCCGACAGAGATAACAACCAAACAGAGCAGAATTTTCTAGGTCCACAACACGTGCACGCGCTTCCAGTAAGCCCCTGCACGGGCCGGATTATGTCTGCTGTCAGCACCCGAGAGGCATAGCTTGTAGGGTGTTGACTGGTAGCGTCAAGAGATTAAGGTCGGCCCGGGTTGGGCGCGTGTCTCGCCAAGCGCGAAGGAAAAGTTTCGCCACCGCTGCGAGCCGGTGTTCCCGTACGTCCCGGGCACTGATTGCTGAGTCGAGAAGCCTTTGCTCTCGGCGACCCGTAACAGCCCGCGAGGGACGTCGTCCGTCCTTTGGCGGAGGGCACGGGATTTCTAATTCCGGAGTCAGGTAACTCAGCTGGCTTCCGTGATTGACTGGCTTGGGGTACTTGGTCTCGGCGAGGACGAGACATCACTGTCCCGGAAGGGCCGAACCGCTGGGGGACATCTCAGCGCAGGCCAACAAGGGCCGACTAGCTCGGCTGTTGTTGTGTTTGTAGCTAGGGTGCCACATCTGACGATTTTGTGCGTGCTACTACATCACAACTGGTGCCGCGGCGCGGGAGCAGGGTGGTTTGTTTTCGTTGGTACCAAGTCAACCAAGTTTCGAGTACTGAGCAAGATGGTCAAGGGGAGATCTTTGCCGAGCTGGGCCAGCCCAGCGACGGCTGGGGGTTCGCTTCACACGAAGCCGAACTCAGCTGGCGGAAGGATCGCCGACATGACGATGGAAGCGGTCGCAACCATTCGGTTTGGCGACGACCGCACCCAAGACCGAGGAAGAGATGGAAATATCGGAGATTATGATGAAGAATTGAAGAAAGCCGAGTTGCTCAGCGGGGTAGCTGAGTTCTCGCTGCATGTTGGGCGCATGGAGAAACCTCGACGAGACCAACAAAACCTCGCAGCCGAGCTCGGTGACGATGCGGACGACGACAGTCAAGCCGTCGCTCCAGGGGACCGTCCGCCCCTGATACAACAAGCGACGAGGGCATCCAGCGCGAAATGCCCGAGTTGGGATTCGATGCCGAACGTCTCGTGGGAAACCTTTCCACTCGACTAGGGGCAATCGAAGAAATGTGAAACCCGTCTGCAAATGGTGCAAGTTGCAGATGCGGGCTAAGGCTATTGCACCAAAGTGATGATCCGCCGACTCAGTGAAGACAGCAGGCAGGGTCGAGTCGAAGAATGATACTGCGTCAACTGTGTGGATTATATGAATTACATGATATCGAAATGGAGTGAGCGAAGATGGAGCTGGAAAGCAAGAAGCCCATTCGACAGGTTAGCGTTGGAGTCGGCGCGGCCGCCACAGCCACCAGGCTGGTGGAATCCGCATCTCGGATCGAAGCCTCAGCCGAGTTGCCGAGCTGCCCAGCTGGTCTGACGACATCCCAGTGAAGAAGCTGAGGGAGATGATGGTGCGTCTGCACAGATTGAGCGAGTCAGCCGTCGATGCCGAAGCTGTGTTGACTCGTCACTGGGTCCGTGAACACGCTACCCACTGGGGCACTGTGTGTGATATCCGGCGGTACGATCGACACCCTTGGGTACGACCGCCGGGACCTCCGACCAAGTCGGTGAACGATCTTCCCGTTGTGCGCTCAAGCTGAGTTGGAGCGCAGGTGTGCTGACGCGAAGCCGTGCTGATATGGAGCCACGCTCAAGCAGGAAAGCCGAAGCGAAGTCGAGTTCGCACGATGTTCCAGTGAGGCCGTAATCACACCATGTTTACCGACAGGCAACTAACCGAGTCGGTCGATGCGCGGCGGCGCTGAACAAACCGAAGTTGCAGCCTCGCGTCCAGTTCCAGTGGGAACGCACACATCTCGGTCTTGCGCCCGGTTCTCGTCGGATTCTAGCCGAGACGAAGTAGGTCGAGCCGACGTTATGCGCAGCCGAGTCCGAGCAGAGCTGAGCTGAAGCGAGACCGAGATCGCGCTGCGTCCTAATGTGGTCGCGTTCGCACTGGGTTGCTGCGAAGCCGAGAGCATTGGAGTACGATCAAGCTGGAATGGGATGCCGAGTTCCAGTAGTGCCGCGTGTTGGATGACGCCAATCTGAAGTGTACTCACTTCACTGGGCTGAGTTGCGGTACGCCGAGTTTCAGTGAGATCGCGTTCGGAAGTTCGCCTAGTTGAGTGCTGGTAAACGCACCATGTTCCGATTGGAGAGCGCTCATACCGAGTTCGAGGTGTAGCCGAGCTGAGGCTGAACACGCTTCACAGCTGAACCGAAGAGACTGAATTCAAACTGAGTTTGAACGCAGCCGAGCTCGCGGCGAGCCGAGTTGGAATGTGACCGAATGAAGTGCTGTTCCAGTCGAGCTTGCCCACCACCATCCCAACCAAGCTGAGCCCAGTCGGGGTAAGCTGGTCTAACAGAGCGGGAGACATGCCGAAGTCAAGGTCCGTTGACCACGGAACCCAGCTCGGCCCGTTCAGAACAACTCGACGGGAGCATCAAACGCATCAGGATCGCCTTGTTCGGCTATAAAATGACACAGCAACGGTGAGAGCTAACTCAACGCACCAAAGTGAGTGGGGCAAACACTTACCAGGCTAGTTGAGCCGATCAAGCGGAGGCTGTGTTCAAGTCCAGCCGAGTTCAAGGTCAGCGGATAGCAGCTAGTCGTCAGGACAGCCGAGTTCGGACACAGCTGAGTTCAACTTGCTGCTGCACTTCTCGCCAATACGCTCAGCTGGGGTAGATTTCGAGCTCAGCGCGGCCCGATCGGGGAAGCGTTTCTTGACCCGCCGAGTTCCCGGTGCCTTGTAGCATGCCAAGACAACTATCAGGCTCCACTCGACGCACAGAAACGAGAGGCACGTGCTTACCGGGTCAGCCGAGTCGCTGGCAGCATCCATGGCTGCTCATTTTGACGGAGACAGAGATGCTCGGCTTCGTCGGTATTGCAGCCAGTCGAGCACTTCCCCGACACCTGCATCACCTACTCGCTTCGCTGCGGCAGACCCAACATCACCGCTAGTACTCCGAGCTTTGACAGGGGCACCAGCTGACTTCGTATGGTTCAGTCGCTGCTACCGGCTGCCACGCCGAGACCACCATCCAGGTTGATTCGCTGCTGAAGTGATCCGACGACGGGGTTTGGTGCGAGCGATAGGGGCACCTACATGTGTACAGACCCATGAGGCGCGGAGTCCACGCATCAGACAAGGCCTATACCAAAGATCAAGGCTCAAGCAAGTCTCACCTTCACGGAACGAGGGCGTCGAGCTGGCGTTGCGGGCGTTTCTGGCCACTCGAATTCGGGAAATGTGAACTCAGAGTGTTTGCGACAGATCTGATTGGACGAAATCACGCGTGTGACACATCCAGTTAGCCAGGCCACTCACCACTCCGGCTTGTAGCATGGCCGGGGCAGTTGTGGTGTAGGGAACATCAAGTTTTGTGTCACACTCCAAGGCCGCAGTGGAACAACGTACCAGGAGCCAAGTTCTACTCGGCGGGATGACCGTCCGCCGAGCTCAGTGGGCAAGAATGCGCTGATGGACCGCTGAACTCGGCTGATAGTGTCAGAAACTCAAGGCACACCGGCCCCGACCTGGTAACACGTGGCAGGCCCAGTGATGAAGACCCAGCCGAGTTCAGGAAGGCACTGGACACGCTCAGCCGAGATCATGGGGAGTTCAAGCCGCCGAGCTCGGCTAAACGGGACCACGTGCCATCCAGATACGGTAACCGGGTCCAATTGAGTCCGGGAGTCGCCCAGTCGAGTCCTAGGGTCGCTCCGCCGGGTTCGTCGTGTTATCCGGATACCTTATCCGGCTCCACCGAGTTCACTGGGTTATCCGGACATCTTATTCGGCTCAGCCGAGTTCGCACGGTTATCCGAACACGCCGTATCCAGCTCAGCCGAGTTCACTGGGTTATCCGAACAGGTTATCCGGCTTAGCCGAGTTCAAGCGTCGCCGAGCTCGGTGAAGAGTCGGCCGAGATCCAAAACCACTCACTTTCATTTGGTATTTGTATAGGAGCTAAGGAATAGTAGAGGCGCCCCTTCAGGGCGCCCGACAGAGATAACAACCAAACAGAGCAGAATTTTCTAGGTCCACAACACGTGCACGCGCTTCCAGTAAGCCCCTGCACGGGCCGGATTATGTCTGCTGTCAGCACCCGAGAGGCATAGCTTGTAGGGTGTTGACTGGTAGCGTCAAGAGATTAAGGTCGGCCCGGGTTGGGCGCTTGTCTCGCCAAGCGCGAAGGAAAAGTTTCGCCACCGCTGCGAGCCGGTGTTCCCGTACGTCCCGGGCACTGATTGCTGAGTCGAGAAGCCTTTGCTCTCGGCGACCCGTAACAGCCCGCGAGGGACGTCGTCCGTCCTTTGGCGGAGGGCACGGGATTTCTAATTCCGGAGTCAGGTAACTCAGCTGGCTTCCGTGATTGACTGGCTTGGGGTACTTGGTCTCGGCGAGGACGAGACATCACTGTCCCGGAAGGGCCGAACCGCTGGGGGACATCTCAGCGCAGGCCAACAAGGGCCGACTAGCTCGGCTGTTGTTGTGTTTGTAGCTAGGGTGCCACATCTGACGATTTTGTGCGTGCTACTACACCACACCTTCACCATCGCTCGTGACATCGTTGCCACTGCCTTTCCCAATACCTTGAACGCCGATCTGTTGATCCTGGCGTGTGAACCGCTTCAACCGCAGCCTCTTCGCGAATCCTTCGCTTATTGCCGACACATTCGCACCGGTGTCGAGCAATATCTTCGTACGCTGGTCGTTCACTGCTCCCATAATGAGAGCTCTCATCCGAACTCGGCGGTCAAACTTTTGTGACGACCACCAGCCGAGTCGCTCCCCAGGGAGCAGCTTCATAACTCTGGTGGCTGTGGTCACCTCCGTCGATCGCTGAGTCGCAACTGCACTGCACAATCTTGCTCGGCTTTCTTTTCCACTCTCGCCGAGCTCACCATCAAGTCCATCGCTTTCACAATCCAATACGTCGTGTTCTCCTCGGTCCTCGGGCCTTCCTGCTGTGGTGTAGCGGGATCGGCCAAAATCTGGTTAAGGCCTGATCGAGCTTCCCACCAGCGCCCGGACACTGACTAACGGAGGGGGTCCCCCAACGATCCGTGATCGGCTGAACTTGTTCTCACCTTGTGTACCCGTCGGCGGGCTGGGTCTGCTCTCTCGGGGCTCCGAAGATGCAGCACTTGGTGAAGATCGAGTGTTTTGGCGTGACGCGGGGATAGTTTGTGGAGCAGCGCGGTAGTCTTCGCTCTGCGTCCGAGTATACGCTCCGATCGAGATTTCTTCGCTTCGATCGGTCGGCCTGGAGTAGATCCAAGGCCTGTAGTTGCCTTTCCGGGTGTGTTCCTTCCTTTCCTGAGTTGCTTGCCGCTTCCTATAGCGGGATCGAGGTCGATTGAGAGACGCAGCGATCGCCGGCCAAGCCGTATCCGGTCGATCGAGGACTTGCACACGAGAGAAAGATCACTAGAGTAGGTCAAACTGGCCAATGAATTAATCCAGTCTTAACCGTACCGCTAGTTCACTACCCGAAGTGTCAACGCTTGCCGAGGCCAATGTAGTTCCTGGGACTTGGTGACTTGAGGGGACTTGTGGTCTTTGGTGCAAATTCTGCTCTGATTTATGTTTAGCTGGTGTCTCTCTACCGCTACCATCTCATCTACCATCCTACAACTCAACAACCACTGGATTTTTGTCCTGACTTCGTCCTCCATGTGCATCACATCGTGGTCGATCCCCGATCCACGATCAACCCACGATCGGCTCCCGATCCACGATCGACTCCTGATCTGCGATCGACTCCCGATCCACGATCGATCCCGATCGATGACCTGTGCGAGTTGCCGTGCGCTGCCGATCCGTCCTCTTCTGTCCTCGGCCGCCCTCGATCTGCGAGATTGGTCGTCGATCCGGGCTTGGGTCTACGTCGAATCACGCCGCAGTCCAAGCGCGATCGCCCGTAATCTGTCTTGACATATGTGTTGCCTTACGCGTCGACGTTATCCAATCGCTTGAGATCTCTCGATAGACCCTCTTGAACCGCGACCGCAGCTTGATCCCTGCCTATCGTTCTGCCACCATGTCGCTTGATGTCATCGCAGTTGGAAATTCTTGTTCGGTGCTTCACCACAACCGCCCCCTGTCCGTAAGTCGGGCCGCACGGCGGCTCACTGCGGACAAGACTTCACCATCCCAGTATCAACGGCTCACACTTCGTCGTGAAACCTATTACTCCGCTTGATCGAGGCGGGCACCGACGATCACCGGCAGGACCCAAAGGTTGCTACCGCCCCAGGATCATCTGGAACAGCCGATCGCGTGTCTCCTCAACGAACTTATCCCCAATACAGAGTGTCTGCCGCAACAACAGCATCCCCCAGCTCGGATGATCGAATTCAGCGTCCAGCTGGTCAGCTCGTCTGTCGTGAAATCTTCGATTTTTGGAGGCCGATCGCGCATCTTCGTATCATGAAAGTCTCGGATCAATAAACACCACCGTAATCTTCGTCACTGTTGGCCACCTCTCTCAAGTCAATCCGTCGTCACCAACCCGATCAGTCCAGATCCATCGGCATACCACCTTTCGCCACCAACCCGATCAGCCCAGATCCGTCGTC